AAAAGGTGAAACTCAGCAGTGACTAATAATGCAAAACTGCTCTTGGGCAGGAGCCTGAGCAGTTAGAAAATACTGAGAAGGAGGAAAGATGCCAGATTAGAGGCTGGTCACGGGATGACTACGAGCCATCAATGTTTATTTCTGGTGAAAAAGGCAAACTGAGTGTGGGGATGCAGGGGGTGAGCTGAGAGCAGCCCCAGTGCTGCAGTTGTGAGGAATGATGCTGTAGCGAGGTTCTGGGTGTTCCTTACACAACACCACGGTGGAAATGAGCCTAGAGAAAAGATCCATGTGCTGCTGGAGTGCTGTGAAGTCACACCCAGTGTGAGCTGATGTTGTGACAGCCTGAGGCCCTGCTCTGCCAGCCCAGCCTTGCATCTCCATTCCTGGGGGGTTGGGGCACTCTTCACTCATCCCTGTGGACAATCACCTTGCAAGCCTGTAAAAAATGAGGTTCACCTTTTTTCATATAAGATCTAAAAAGTTTAATAGTAATTAAATTAGAATTAGGAGACAGAAATAAAGCAAAAATAATAAATACAACCGAGTGCCTCAGCATTCAGCCAAGAGCACTCCTTACCAACAAAGGATTGTCCCTTAAAAACACAAATTTATTACACATTCATCAATGCTTATGCATGATTCAAACATTCCTCTGAAGTTTTAGATGTTCCTTTGTTTGGCTTCAACTTCCCCCTCACCAACAGATCAGTTTTAACAGATTAATTAATTTAACAGATTAATCTTTTTGGCTTAGTTCAGTCTCACACTCCCTGATAACAGAGGTCCAATAAATTCATCCCTTGGAGCTCCAATCACTGCTGTCTTCAGCTGGATAAAATAATCTAAGAATGCAGGGTGAGTTTCTGACTGTCTTTTCAGTTTCTGGGTTATATGAATAAAATCAGCCTTTATTTTAATACCATACTACAGCCTAAAATGTATATATGTATTACCCTACTATTTCTAAGTTTTATCAATTACAGAAATAAAAGAAACTATATTAATACAAAATAAATTAAATAAAAATAAATAATTTATTTATTAATTATTAATATATTATTTTATTATATTATATTAATATATTATTATATATTGTATATAGATTATTAATATATTTATTAATTTTTATAAATTAAAAAATATTTATATAAAATAAAGCAAAATTTCCTAACTTTATACCTATAAAATTTGTTTTAATATTTGTGAAAAGCCAATAATATAATATACAGCAGGGGAAGCTGCTGGAGCAGTCTGAGAACACCTGACCTGTGCCCTGGGTTTTCATCTGAAGTGAAGTGAAGCAGTGGCTACCTGACATCCATCCATGAAAACACTGAATTTCATATAACACCCTGAAAACAACTGTTAAACAGAAAAACTAAAAGTGTGAGTGTGTAAATTAATGACTTAAATTAGTGACTTTTCTGAAGTCACTGGGTGAAAAAGTTAAAGTTTGGAGTTTAAACCAGTTTAGAGAACAGAAGATGAGATGGAGGATTTAAGGTGTTGTCTCTTTTCCTTCTTTCTTCTTCATCTTCTTCTTCTAGAGGTTTTTGGGTAGTAATAAGTGATTAGATGGAAAATGCCCCAGTGCAGCACACAGGTGTTGGGTCATTGGGTCACTAAGAAAAAATAATTTACTTGGCATTTGTTAATTAGGTAAATGAACATATAAAAAATCATGAGGAAGATCTTTGTTAGCCATTTTGCACCTTTATTAGTGCACATAGCTCCTTGTACCTTGTAATGCAGATAAAAAAAGAATAAACAACCAAGTCTGAACAAGAGAAAACTCATCTCTCATCAATCTCAGTCCAAGGGGGAAAAGAACCCCAAAACAAATGTCCCAGCAGCACAGCTACCCAGCCCTGGCTTCTCCTTTTGTTGTTTGGAGGGGCTGGAAAATGCTGATTTGAGCAGGGCTGGAGGGAAGTGAGCTGGCTTTGTGATTTAGCAGCCAGAGGTGTATTTTACCTGGAGCTGCACAGCCTCTCAGAGCTGGATGGCTCACTCAGAAATGGCTTTTAAACAGAAATTCTCATTTGGAGCAGTCTCTTTGTGGGCTTCATTCTTCTCCCACTTCTTCCTTCCTGTGGTGCAGCTTTGCTCCATTCATTGGAATTATTCTAACCCCCCTCGATGTGAGTAAAATCAGGAGCAGCTCTTGTATTTTTAAATGCAGCTCTGTGTGTGTAACAACTGTCAAATATCAAGCTTGCTCCTAAAGCCACTGCTTTTAAAAGAACCACAGGAGAGTTCAGGATTTCACTTTGACTAAGGCTGTTTTAGTTTTTATGGGAACACCACAAAGACTCTCCTTTTTTTGATACTGTTTTGAGCCAACAGGTGCTGGGATAGCCCCTTTTAGAAACGGTCTCTTTGTTTAAATCCATGTGAAATTCAGACTGCAGGGTGAAATGGTTAATAGCATGTGTGTTTTTGTTTTGGGACAATGTTTATAAGCCAAAGCACATGTTGGATCTTCTGTTTTCCTGGTCCAGACAGTGAAATTGTCCAAACAGCTGGTTTACCAAGACTGACTTTCTAGTAAGAGTTTGTTGGTAAAGTTTCCTGAAAATTGAGTGCAGGAAATCTTTGGGTCAGAAAATATTGTTGTTTTTTTTTTTCCCCTACAGTAAAGTCTAAACAGGTCAATCTTTCTTTAGCAACAGAATATGAATTGTTCAGGGTTTCACTTAGCAAAGAAGAGGCTCTTTTTTTTCATAGCTTCCAGTCAAACAGTGAGAAATTACAGATAAATTGGCAATGCAACATGATAAACTGTCATGGTATGAAACCAAGCCTCTGCTCAAACAGCACCACTAATAAAGTCCTTGTGGCTTGATATTAATGATGTGGTCTATCTTATTACAGATAAAGAAATTGAACTGGGTGTGATTTTAATATTAAACCAAGAAACACACTGAAACTTAGACTTTATCAGCAGACAATTAAACAGTCAGTTTTTATTTACTGTAAGCCTTCTCTGTTTTCTGGCAAAAGGACTGCTTAGACTGTCAGCACTTGCTCATGTACATGGGTATTTATCTGGAAATAACTGCCAGCTTCAGCTGGGGAATTCTGGAGGTATTTTGGATCAGAAATACTGAGGGTTTGGATAGAAAAGCTTGACTTAATTGAAAGATTTCTTAGGGATGCTACCATAACCTCTCCCAGCTATTTTAACCTGAATCCTGTGTTGGAGCCCTGAGCTCAGGTGCTTCTCTGCTCCTGGGAGAAGAGCAAATTCCTTCACTGTTTTTGTGGGAACTCAGCAAATCCAACACAAATCTGATGCCCTCAGTGTCCTGGGAGACAGGACAGCGAAATTTACCTTCCTACAAACAGGTGTGGGAATTTGGAGAAAAACAGTGATTGAGAAATGTCTGTGGGTTCATGGCCTGGCTTTGCAGTGGGGGAGATGCACAGACTCACATCCAAACTGGTCCTGGCAACAGAAATTCCACCATGGCACCATGGAAAGGGGATCTGGCCTCTCTCCAAGTGCAGCTTTGACTCCTTGCCCAAGTAAACGATGACTTTTCACTTAATTCCTGCCATTTATCAGTTTGGGTTGGTGAGGTCACAAAGTGCCTGTCAGTGTAGGGGAAGCTGAACTCTGCTTTCCCAGGCTGTGGAATATTTATTGGCAAAGCCTTGCTCCTGACAGATGCACTGCTTTCTTTGAGGGCTGTGAGACCTGGCAGCTCCGCCTGCTATTTCAATTTATCTTGGTTTTTAAGTCTGTAAATTAAATATTCTGTCTGTAGAGATGTATCTTTACTTCCCTGTATGTATTTATCTGTAAATAAATAACCCTAACCCTTTGCAGGACCCCATTGTGCCCCTGGAAAAGTGGTGCTTGATAAAAGCAGGAGGCTCTTTTGACTTGTAAAATGATTTCAATGTCCTGTGCAAATGGGCTGCCAGTGTGGCTGTGCCTGATTTTTATGCTGCTGCTCCCCAAAACCATCTGAGGCTGCAAGTCAGGCAGAGCAGAGCCAGAAGCAGTGTCTTGAAACAGCTGATGGCTCTGCCAAAAGCAGCACAACATCACCCTTAAATCAAAATCAGCTGATCAGCCAAATTGCTTTTAAAGCAGGCCTCTCCCTTCAGATTTATTGCCTTTGTTTAAATGTTTATGATTTAACTTCCTTCTGCGACGCATTAATCTTCCGTACAGTTATAGTCCTCCTTAATTTCTTGCTGGTAGCAAAAATAAGTGGGATGATTGTGTTGCTGTCTGTGCAGGATTTCCTGACTAACTCCTAATTGATTCAGGAGGGAAGGGGATGCTTTTATTTTGGACAACTCGGATATTGCATGTGCAATTCCTTAAGAAGGAAAGCTGTCTCGTTGTTTTTCAGTTTGCCAATGTTGCAGTTACATATTATATCATTGGCTTTTTGCAAGTATTAACATATTATATAAATAACATGAATATTATATGTATAATGTTGGAAAACTTTGCTGTATTACTATAGTTTCTTCTATTTCTGGTGTTGATAAAACTTGGAAATAGTGGTGTAATAAATATATGTGTTAGGCTGTAGTATGGTATTAAAATAAAGACTGTTTTTGTTCATATAACCCAGAAACTGAAAAGACAGTCAGAACTCCCCCTGCATTCTTAGATTATTTTATCCAGATGAAGACAGCAATGATTGGAGCTCCAAGGGAAGAATTTATTGGACCTCTCTTATCAAGGAGTGTAATACTCAACAGAGCCAAGATCAATCTGTAAGGGAGGGGGGAGTTGAAGCTAAACAAAGGAACATCTAAAACTTCAGAGGAATGTTTGAATCATGCATAAGCATTGATAAATATGTAATAGATTTATGTTTTTAAGGGACAATCTTTTGTTAGTAAGGCGTGTTCTTGGCTGAATGCTGAGGCACCCGGCTGTGTTTATAAATTTTGCTTTATTTCTGTCTCCTAATTGCCTCTTAAACTTTTAAAATTTTACATATAAAAAAGGTGAACCTTATTTTTCACAGGCCTGCCGATGAGCTGTGCTGCTTACTGAGGCTCTGGACCTGCCAGTTGTTCCCCATCCTAAACACACACACCTGAACTTTGCTGTTACCTTGTGCCCACCAATGATGGGGAAATAAATGTCACATCAGAGTCCTGCACCTTGTTGCTGCCATCTGCTTGGATTTCTTCCCATCTGAGTGCAGAAATATTTTCTGTGGGGGTGAGGAGACCCCCAGGATCTCTCTGATTCCACTTTTTATTTGCAGTCCAAACAATTTGCAGAGGCCTTGTGAGGATGGTGCTGGTGTTGGCATGTGAGAAAGAAAACTCCAGCAGGATTGTGAGGGTTGTGTGATCCCTGTCTGCTGGGGATGATGATGATGCCTTGGAGTGGTCACCTAAAACAGCAGCTAGACAAGATTAAGAGAATTAAAGCATGTATTTATTGAAGGTTTTAATAGATACACCTTGGGCAGTCAGAAGGGGCTACACCCAAAATGGACATTCAGAGATTGATGCTTAAAATCCTGGGAACCTGGCTGGAGGAGCACAGGGAAAAGTGGAAATCTTTTCCCCTGCACATCCTTGCAGTTCAGGGAAAGGTGGAAATCTTTGCCAGTCAGCCCTGAGCTGTGGTTTGGGTTGTAATTTTATTTATTCATTAGCTATTGATGCTGTTTACTTCTCTTTAGGCTGCCTGAAAATAGGAATGAAGTTAGGAAATAATTTTGTGAGGGTTTAGACTGAAGTTTTTGCCACTGCTGCTATCTATTAACGAGCATGTGGGTTTTTCCTAGCACAACACTTTCCTCAGAAATGAGTAACAAAACACAAACCCCCACAAGTATTTGCAAAACAAAGGCAGTTGCATCAGTCTGCCAATTAACAGAGAGGATGTCACAAAATCCACATGACTGGATGTAGGCACCTAGAAATTGATATTGCAAGTGTTTTTTCCTCTCTGGAAGGCAGCTGGGATCAAATGTCCTGCTGAAAAACCTCATTGCAGCCCTCAGTGGGACCAGAAAAGGCAATCAGGGAGAATTTGGAGCAAAGTGAAATAGAAATCCACGTTTAATGCAAATATAAAATATGAAGTGAAATAGAAACCCAAAGATCTGCAGTGCTGGTGTGGCACTTCCCTCCTGAGAAAGTGTAGTGCAGAGAGGGGTGGGAAATGCAGAGCTGGGGTGGAGAGCTTTCATGTGCAAGGGGAATCCTCCAAGCTCAGAGGAGAGAGCTGCATTTTTATCCACAGAGAACTGAAATGTGCTCCAAGCAAAGAGTGAAACACAAGGGCAGAGGCACCCACTGAAGGGGTTCACCCCAAAGGAAGTGGGGTTTTCACAGCACCCCATCCAAGTGCAGGGAATTGCTGCTTATTTTTGTCTGTCATACAATTTTATTGCTTTTAATATTATTATCTATTTAATTATTGATGTGTTTAATATTATTTCTATATTATTATGTATATATTTGGGATATCTTTGAGGTCAGGGATGTATCTGGTCACAGGGGTTAGTTACACTTGTGGAGAGGAGCTCTGTGTGTCTAATTTAAATTTCTCAGCTCAGGAAGTCAGCAGATTTTTCTTGCTGGGATGGATAAAGCAGGATGCTGCAGTCTGCACACACCTTTTATACTTTCTGCAAACCCCCTTTTCAGCCCTGCCAGAAGGAGCAGCTCATGGCTGAGGGCCATGAGTGTGTTTGTACAAACTCAGAGGGTCAGTGACATTGTGTGGACAGCTTGGAAGGGCTGTCCTGCTTTCTTGGCAGATGTTTAACCACAAAATCCTGGCACCTCCTTTCCTCTGCAGCCACTCTGGGCTGTGAGCAGGGGAACTTTGGCAAAGGTTGCACAAGCTCTGCCTATAAATGTTGGTGAAAAATCAATCCAACAGCCTAAAGACTCCAGGAAAAAAAGAGATTTGTTCTTCCAACCTGCTGCCCCTTCGTGGCATCAAGCTTGGAGCCTGAACCCTGATATCCAGAGGTGCAGGATCTTGTAGGAGAGCAGCTGAGGAAAGCTGAGCAGGTGCTCAGAGCAAACCACAAGAACTTTTATCAGCTGCAAACAGGAATTGCCTGCTGATCAGCCTGCAGCTCTCTTGGTGTCTGATTCTTGGCAGAGATTTCTTGCTGGGAGGAAGCCTTGTGATGCTCAGTTGTTTTCTGCTGGTTGCTGTCATGCTTGGATTGCATAGGATGTGTGTGGGCACAACGAGAGGAAGAGGAAGGAAGGAAAAGCTTCACATAGTTTTTTTTTGTGGTTTTCACCCACAAGAGGAGCCAGATTTCCCCCTTCTGCACGACAGCCTCCTCTCTTTGGGATAATAGCTGCCCTTTTTGGGTGTGGTGGATGTTCCCTGCTCCTGTGAGCTTTCCCCTCAGACCCTGCCCAGTGTTTTGGTAATTTCCCATGTATTTGTGCCTTTGGTTGTGTGAGGTTCCAAAGAAAGGGCTGAAGATGTCTCAGGAATCTGTGACTGACCTGGGGATTTCATTGCCTCAGTGTGTTGTAGAACACTAAGAAATGGATCTGATATAATTGGACCCTGATATAATTTCCTTTGAGGAAAAACGTAAGTTTGTTATTTGAGCTCAGAAAATCCACGGAAGGATGTGTGTGTACCCTGACAGTGATATTCCTTCTAAAGCACTTGCTGGATGAGGTAAATGAGATTTCCCTTTGCTGTCTGATGCTGTGCACGGATGTAAAGACACACTGTGGTCAGCAGTGAACATCTGCCTGCAAATCCACTTTATCTCCCCTTCCCCAGGGGCCTGACCTGCAGGAAGCTGAGTGCTCTGCCTGAGAGATGCCTGAGACAACAGATCAGGTCTCCAGAGCAGGCAGAGCTGCTTGGATCTGCCATTCCCAGGGTTGTGCAAGCCAGGCTGGGGTGCTTCAGTCAGTCCTGCACTCATGTTCCATGTTTGACTCCACTGCCTGCTTTGAAGGGATTTTCTGGGATTTCTTCACCTTCAGAGTGGATTTTTGCCACATGGACTACTGGTACCATATTGAAAATGTGTATGTGTTCTTGCCACCAGCAAGCTGCTCACAAATTTCAGGGTCTTTGGCTCTCACAGAGCTGGATGGAGCAGCAGAGGGAGACAAGACAGCTCCACACGAGATGCAAGGTTTTATTCCAAGCTGGAATCTCTAAAGTGCAAGGGCTGGAAAGTACAGCTGTGAAGGTTTAGGGTAACCAAATGATCACACAGGAGGTGGAGGGTGATGTGTGGCCTCCCACACTCTTCAGAGGATGGTGTGACTTGGCCAGCAGAAGAGCTGTTGCCTCCTAAATCAGTGCAAGAGCCCAGAATGGCACTGCTGGACGTGGCTTGCACAGATCTGCCTCTTGCCATACAAATAATTCTTGCAATGGCATTGAAAAGAAGGGCAGGGGGAGGACTTGGCTTCTTCACCTCACCTGGCTACTGAAATCTGGGGAGCTGGGATGTTGTTTCTGTCCTTTCCAGTCTCCCTACACTGGATATTTGCAATATGAGGAAAAAGGCTTCTATTTTATTATCCTTGCTCTTCAGTTTGCCTGGTGTTCCCACCTAAGCAAGGAGCTGTCAAGTCCCAAGTAAGAAAGCTGGTGATAATAAAGTCTCTCTGGAAGGACATAGCAGGGTGCTGACTCACCCCAGAGACAAATCTGACCCTTTATTAGTGGTTTCCTGATGTCCTGACCCTGTACTTGGGTATTAAGTCTGCCCCCCACACTTGGGTAAAAAAACCAGCTGACTCAGATGTTTGTGTGATGACTTCTGCTTCCCACTTGTGCTACAAAAATGCTCCCTCTGGGAGTTTGTAGGGGTGAATTTAAGGAATTGAGCTGGGAAATCATCTTTTATATGTATGTGAGTGTTTATTTATGTGGCTTGTGTGCTGCCACCAGCCCAGCTCTTTGTGTGATCAGTGATTGTCCCTTGGCACTGCTCTCATATACCAGATCATTTTCTGTGCAGTTGTTCAAGATTGGCATGTCTTCATCATTGTCATCATCCTGCCAATATGATGGTTGTCACTCTTTTGGGTAAACACATCTTCAAAATGGCTTTGGGGAGGAGTATGTATAAATATTTCTGGCCTGAAGTAGGAAATGCAGGTTTTCTTGGATTGTGTTGGAGAGCAAATGGATGGCATTAGACCAGAGGAGGGGAAAAATGAGATATCCTGAGAGAAGCTAATTGAGCCTGATTGTTCCTTTTTGCTCTGCTGTGAGGGACTCATCCACTGGAGTCAATGAAACATTGAGAGAAGCAGCACAGGAATGAAAGAGCTTCGATTAAATTGGCCTTGAAGCTCTTGGGAGGTAAACACAAGGTTAAGCCCTTATCAGTGATCAATGTGCTTTTCACCTACCTCAGGATCAATTTCCTGGTGCACACAGGGTGCAACAGCCACCTCTGAAATCACCTTCTCTAATGTGTTTATCTTGGAGAGAGGAGCAGCCTGGCTGGGATCAAGTCAAGCCATGAGTTATTTATTATCCCAGAGCTTCCAGCCACAACTGCTGCCTGTTATCACCTGGTGTCCTGATCCTTCTCCTCCTCTACCTTTACATCTTTGCAGTTTTATTTTCTGTTCCAGAAGCATTGACTCCTTACTGCCTGGGGAGAGGTGCTAACAGTTTTATTTCTCGTGAGTTTGTTCTTCTCACTGGTGTTGCCAGCACAAATATTTACAATATTTGTCATCTGTTGCCGCATGTGGGGATGTTGCTCTTTGAGAGTGACTTTCTCCTCTTTTCTACTGATGCTGTCAGGCATGAATTTCATATTCCAGGGAAATTGGGGTTAACTGCAGAACAGCTGTGGCAGCATTGAAAAAATATCCTGTCACAGAGCAGAACCTGAATGTTGAAAATTCAAGAGGAATCTTTGAAAATAAACACTTTTTCCCTCCTGTTTCATCCTTCCACTGCTGAGTCTGATGCCTCTTGGTACTTTCCTTTACTACCTGAGTTTCTGGTGGTGCATTTCAGAACAGTCTGTGCAAGCAGAACTTTGGAAATGTTTTATTTTTGTACTTTTCTGAATTTCTAAGTTTTGTCACAGAAAGGCAGAGTCCTTTTGCAAAGCAGGTGAGATGGCTCAGCTCAAATAGAGGAGATGCTGTGGTCTCCTAGTCATGGATCACT